AATGAGATTGCCTAATGGATCAAATGTGGAAAGTGAGAAAGAGAGTAGTCAAGTACAATTCCAATGAGCTTGTCCTGAGTAACTGGTAAGATAAAGATGCCATCAACTTAGAAAGGGAATTTCAGTAGTGCGTTTTGTATACTTTACTTTTAAGTAGACATCCAAAGGCCCCTGGGTGACACAAACAGTATGTACTTGTCTACTAGACAGCAGTTCACATATACTTTATCTCATGTCATTGATCACAGTTTACCACAATACAACAGCTCCCCTCCCACTTCCTCCCCATATCACCTCTTCCCAGTGTCCATCCCTCCATACTCTCCTGCCCCCTTAGCTGTCTCCCTGTGCATAAGCAGCCCTTCTTTCTCCCACGATTGTTCTCTCCAAGGCAACACAAGAGGTTTTCATGAGTCAGAAACTACTTGATGGCAACAGGTTTCATTTTGTAAGCAGACGCTCAAGGAAACATGTTGAATAGAGAGTTGGATATATGAGTCTGGAGTTCAGGTGTGAGGATGAGGCTGGAGATGAATTTGAGAATTTTGAGCATATCAACGATTTTAAAGCTATAGGACTAGACAAAATCACCAAAGAAAATAACAGAGACAGAGAAGACATCCAAAGACTGATCCCTGGGCTTAGTAGCTCATAAATGTAGTCAACATTTATAGGCTGGGGACACAAGGAGGAATCAGTAAAGAGAAGTGAAAGGAAAACCAGAAGAATGTTAAGAAGAAAAAAGTGCTATAGATTGGAAAGAATGATCAATTGCATCAAATGTTGCTGATAGATGAATTAAGATGAGAACTGAGAAGGGGAATTTAGCATCAAGAAGACATTTGCTAACATGGATGAAAGCAGTTTTCATGGAAGATGGGATGTAAGCCTGTTGGAGTAAGTTTAAGACAGAAAATGAAAGGAGAGGATGAATTAGAAGCAGTGAAAATAAAATTATTTCAAGATGTTTTGCTTCAAAGGAAATCATATAAATGGAGTACTAGCTGGCAAAGCAGATAGGGTGAAGGAAAAATTTTTGTTAGACAGCACATCATGTCTGTATGCTGCCAGGAATGGTAGGTGAGAGAGAAGAAAAGAACTGGAGCAATGTCCTTTGGGAGATGGAAAGACATAGCACCTTGCACTAAGTGGAAGGATGTTGTTGTTGTTATGTGCCGTCAAGTCGGACTCATAGCGACCCCTCCTTGGGTTT